TCTGACATTAACCCTAACTCTGACATTAACCCTAACTCTGACATTAACCCTAACCCTAACCACTACCAGTATATTTCTCAGCCTGACCAAAGTTTAATTCACATCATTCCCCCTAAAATTTTAAAACAGCCTTCCGTCACTTTGGCCTTCTGTCTTCATAAAGGCCAGTTGGTCCTTCGAACGCTGGTAAATTAATTAGCTGATATAATATAATAAACTCACACAGCCTGTGTTGTTCTGATTAACTCCCCCCCTCCCCCAGACCTCGCTGACAGAGCGTGCCTGCAGTGCCACCGTCCTCCCCGTGTCTCCACCTCCTTCTTCAGCCGCCTCCCTCAGGCTGCCTCCATCCCCCGCCGCAGCCTGCTGGAGCTGCAGCCTTTTGGCCAGGTAACATGCGCACGCTCATGTGCACGCACAGCCTGTGGAAAGTGAAGTGGTTGAGCCAGTGAGGAGAACGACTTCTTTGTCTGCAGCCATCAGAGTCAGAGCGAAGCCTGCAGAGAGGTCCCACCTTCAACAGCAGCACCGGCAGATACACGGCACCCGTCTCTGGGTTCTACCAGCTCACCGCCAGCCTGCTCATAGGTCTGACAAGCCACACCAACACATCCACATTCCCAACTCTAGAAAAGCATGTTTAGATGCTGCTCTGAATGGACCGAGGTTCTAAAATCAAAGTTCCATGTTTGCTCAGAATATTCAAAACCACATTAATGACAAGATCCTCTTCAGGTTTTGGTGCTGAGCAGAAATTAGAGACTCTGTTACTAAGACCAAGTGTCAATATTTTCTGTTTCAGAGTCTGGAGACCGGGTCCAGGTCAGACTCAGAGACAGTGTCAGAGCAGCCATCTGCATCGAGTCGCTCTGTCAGAGCAACCTGTGAGTACCTTTTCCTCAGTAAACCTGCTTAGGGTCAGAACCTCAGCAGACTTCGGGCATAAAGGATTTCCTGTGGATGAATGCATTTGTCTTTTATCTGAGCCCGGTCCAGAATATCCAAGAGGCTTCAGTGTTTCCAGGGAACCGAGTCTTAAAAGTTTTCTGCTGTGTTTCAGCTCGGTGGAGTCAGTGATGGGTGCGGCAGCTGCAGGAGGAACCTTTAGCATTTTACTGACAGGAACGCTCTACCTGCAGGTATGACTCACCTGGTTGGCACCAAAACTAGCTGTCACAACCTGTTACAGAGCTCTGACCCATTTATCATTGGTTCAGGCTGGAGAATACGTGTCGGTGTTCGTGGACAACGCCACTGGATCGGCCATCAGCGTCCTGCAGGACTCACTGTTCTCAGGAATACTGCTGGGAATCTGAACCAGTGGACTAACCCAACAGATTAAGGTTCTGATTCAACAAACCCAGTAGGAACTGTCTGAGTGGACCCACAGTCTGGTGAGAACTAATCCCAGTCTGGATCTGGATCAGACTGAACCGGGTCTGGCCTAGTTCTGGTTCAAAAGGACTATCAGGACCATCAGGAGGTCATTGTTAATGTCCATATGGATCTACAGGGAATCTGATTTTTCTCTTTTTGGAGCTTCATCATCCAACACCAACAGAGTTCCTGGGGAGTCTTCTGGAAGCAAACCAGACCTTCTCAGAACCTTCAGTCTGCAGAGGTTCGCTTCGTTAGAGCCTCATCTACAAAACCCATGGTGTCCTCCGTCTCAGTTCAGCTCTGACCTCTTGGGTGTTTCTAAAAGTCTCGGACCTGATCACTAATTTTAAAACAGAAGGACAGAATCAGTGAAGCTTTGGTTCCGGAACTTCTCCCTGCTGGACTGGACCCTTTGGGTCTCTCTAACCCCCCTTCATTATAACTGCTGTCGATCTGTATTCTGGCTATAATGTCGTTTGCTCCTCTTACCTGACAGAAGTTGTACTTGCCCCTGTTCTTTACACTCTGAATTGATTTTGAAGCGCTAGCAATATGTGCCTCCGTTCTGAATAAAGGGATAGTTTGGATCTTTTTAGTAGGGCTGTGTGAAATTATTGTTAGCTTAGTGTCTTTCTTAGTTAGGTCAGGTATATGATCAGCTCTGACCTTTATCTCTGATTTCTAACTTCTTTAATCCACCTGATCAGCTGCAACTAATCATTCCAGCTGTGGAGTTAAGGCTGGTTTATACTTTATACTGCATGTGTTGCAGTTAGCGCAGATATGACCCGCCCCTTCCGCAGACACTTTGATGCATCTCTCCAAAACTGCAATTCCTGTTTGGTAACTTACCGGCTTGTTTTGTTTGTATGACCGCCATTTTGGAAAACAACTCGTCAAGTTGGACCAGCTAGCAGAGCGAGGTGCGCGAGAACGCTGGGAGCCTTTTTCCATCTAGATCCCCGCTCTTTTTGGCCATCATGTCCCTCCATTGACTTGCCCCCACTTCTTCACCGCCTCGACCGTATCTAGACCCACAGTTAGTTCCTGATTGTTCCTCTTGCGTTGTGGCGTGGAATAACATAGTGAAGACCACACAAATTGGGCATAAATCAAAAATATCTGCATCATACCTGCGGCAAGCTAACTGCAACACACTGCCTGCGGAGGATAACCAGCCCTTCAGGCTTCTTCTAATCAATGTGATATTTAGAAAAGATGTAGCAAATGCTAAAACCAGACAAAAACACATCCAGCAGGATCTCCCTGGACCTCTGGCATGTACCTCTTGTCTAGTAGCCTAATAGGATGTCCAAATGGTACCGATCGAGCGGAACCACCGTCTGGATGAGCTGCTTTTTTCATCAAGATTCTGATCTTGGATGGAACAAGCAGCATGAATCTTTTCAATGTTCCAGATCCCTTTCAGATTTTCCTCATGAACACATCAACCACTCCCCGGGCACCAGGAGGACCGCTCCAGCAGCCCTAATGACGGACCACATGTTCCAGCCTGTTTCTCCAACCTGGCGGGATCCAACCTGAGGGAAACCTCAGGGACTAGAACTGTTTTAGGTTCAGAGTAAACCAAAGCTCTGACGTCAGACTGCTTTACACAGCGCCTCTTTGTTAAAGCACACACACAGACCCTCTCACTCGGCTTGGTATTACACCGCAGCGTCTGCAGCCGAGCGGTGACATCATCATCATCATCTCTCATAAAGTGGCGCCGAGTGTCTGGCCCTCAGCCAGAGAGGCTCAGTTACTGACAGACGCTGCTGACACACACACACAGAGGCGGGCTAACACAGCTCTGAGATGGAAAAGGAAAAAGTCAGGTCCTATGACAGGCAAATACTTCTCAAGGAAAGCTGTGAGTAAAACATAGAGACAGCAGAAAGAACTTAGTGGGTGTTTGATTTCTTCTAAACTTTCCTAGTTGATTTTCAGAAGTGAGACATTTTGTCTGTAATCAGATCTAGTTAGAGACAGTATTTAAACTGGACTTACTGGACAAAGGGACTGCCCTTCTGTGCTCTTGTTCATGAGCTGTAAGGGTAGGACCATAGACCGACCAGCAACTCAAGAGTTTTGCTTTTTGGCTCATCTCTCTCCTCACCACAACAGACTGGTGCAGTGCCCACACTCATGAACAAGACCCAGAGATACTTGAACATCTCAACTTGACACAGGAACTTTTCGACTCATGGAGAACAAGTCACCCTTTTCTTGCCTCCTTATACTGCAACCTACGATGGAACGTGTTTTATCCATACATCCATTTCCCGTCGCGCTTATCCCTGCTGGGGTTGCAAGGGGTGTTGGTGTCTATCTCCAGCTATCTACGGGCGAGAGGCGGGGTCCACCCTGGATAGGTCTCCAGTCCATCGCAGGGCAACACAGAGATAAACAACCATTCACACACACTCACCCCTAAGGAGAATTTATAGAAGCCAATTAACTGTGATGTTTTTGGACTGTGAGAGGAAGCCGGTGTACCCGGAGAGAACCCACGCATGCTCAGGAAGAACATGCAAACTCCATGCGCTCCAGGAATCAAACCCGGAACCTTCCTCCTGCAAGGCAGCTGTACTACCCACTGCGTCACTGAGCAGGCCTGGTGGTGTTTTAATGCTCGGATAATCCCAGAGGCTATGTCCTCAAGGGCTTAAATGCCTCTGGTAGGGTCTCATACAGCAAACAAGCTCTGGGTGATGGGACAGATTAAAAGGGGTTTAAAAACCTCTATGATGTCCAATAATTTAGGGGCAACTTACATCGGCTGGTACGGCGGAGCTGGCCGGGCTGGAATGTGTGACGGGTCCAGGATTGTCTCGGGCCATGGCCACGCCCCACTGGGGGACCAGTGCAAAGAAGGTGGAGCATAAGTCAGAGATGAACACCTCTATGGCCAGATCCACAGATTCTTTAACTAGCTCCTGCTTGATGTAAATTTAGCTAAAATATGTTTTGACTTCACACAGAAGAAAGAAAGATAGGAGTGGTAATCACTGGGACAGAACCAGTTCTCAACATTGCACTGGGTTGTCGATAAGGACAATAGATAATGTCGGAGGGGCTCATCATGCCTGATGCATGTACAATCTGTGTGGAAAAAGAGCCGGCCATCACCGCGTCTGCAGCATTTATACTTGGGGGCGTGTTCGCACTACACGGCGAAGTAGAAGGCACACAGCTTTTTCAAAGCCTCTACATCCCATCCAAGAACAAAAGTCATTTCTTTGCAAGAGTTTTTCCACAGTCTGTCTTACATGTTTTCATTTGCGAACCTTTGCCAGTAGAAGCTGCTGCTCGCTTTCCATGTTTTCCACGTGGATCTGTCCACGTAGTTACAAATTGTCCTAGTGAACGAGGTGGAAACTCTGTCCACTTGGATGGGGAGGGTCGGAGAAGCCCGAAATTACATAATTTCACGTGCAGTACTCGTGGACCTGTCAAGCATAAACCAACCTTAAGGCAGAGGCTGAGAGGGGTAATAGCATAAGGCAGAGGTTCCCCAAATAAGGAGCTCGCCCTCTGAGGAGCCAGAGTATAATTGCAGTGGGTCTTTGTAGAAATCAGTTGCCAAAAGGTACCTAATTCTGAGAGTTTATTTGTACTTTTATGTGTTGCTAGCAATGCTGAACTCACTGATACTGTAAGATAACAGTTCTGTTAAAACTAATTACACATAAAGGTGGTAATTTAATGATTTAAATGACATTGAAGCTTAATTTAGTGAAATATGTAACTGAAAGCTACTGAATTTTCTTTGTTCAACTGTTGAGAAAGTCGGTCAGGGTTGGAAGTGGGCCTCGAAGACTTTGCTGCAAAGCAAGCAGGAAAGGTTTGGGAACTAAACATTAAATAAAGCATAACTTTATAGGTGGGGGATCTTATCAACACGCTGACAGCTAAAGGCTGTTTCTAAAGCTTTACAAAGTGTGACTGTGTTTAGTTTCTATGAGCTGAATGTTTTTTCCATGGGACCGACCCGATAACTGCAGCTTCACTGCTTCCCACAGATTCTGCTGGTTGCAGCGCTTTGCTGTGAAACAGCATGTTTGAATGTAGTCTGTGGAGGAAGCCTGACCTAAACCCGCCTCAGAGATCTGCTTATTGGGGTTTACTCCACCACTTCCCCTAAATGATTTTAAAGAGGAATTAGAAATAAAGAGATGATTTTGCATTAAGTTCAATGATTGCTGTGAGGTTTTTTTCTGCTCTGTATTTGTTTTACAGGATATATGTTTAATAATTTCATCTCCACTGTTTAAGGGAAAGATAACTTTTTATAGCTTTGCAGTTTTATAATTCCTTTTAAGCACATCCAGACAAGTGGTTTCCTCAGAGCAGTGAATTTATCAAACTCTACATGTGAAAAAAGTCATGGATACACAGTGACAAAATAATAGTTCTTAAGAAATATTTAAGAAAGAACTCAAAACTTAAAGGCTAATGCACTCATTAGAAAACCAAATCCAGATGTAAAACACAACATACCTCTTTGGCTGGATTCTACTAAAGGAATCAGTTTTTTTTTTATTTATTTCAGCTTTTTTTTAACTTTTAGATTGATCTGTGCTTAATCCTTATTCTGCTGCATTGATTTTTAATTTTTCTTGCCTTTTCAGACACTTGAATATGCTGCCATCTAGAGGCGATTTGTGAGAACTACACATAATAAAGCAGTTAAAGCCATAATATGGCTGATCTACTGTGGATTTTAGTTGGTTTTATTCTGTGTGGTTCAGGGCTAGGTTCACCTGAACTCTACCCTATTATGGACTTGAACCATAATAAATAGTGGATAATAAACAGTGGATACCTGTAGTGTGTACAGGTTGGTGTCTCTGTCTATTTTAAATCTATCTAAAAGAGTAATTATCTATTTTCAATTTCAGTTGAAGCTCTCTCTCACAAAATAGATCAGATAAGGCAGAAGCTGTTCAACCTTCTCCCCAAAACTTTGTTTGAAGAAGTATTCAGGTTTGTTGATAAGATCCAACTTTCACAACACTAGAAAACAAAAGAAAGACAAAACGCTAAAACAATAAATTTGTTAATTTTAAACAAGAAACCAACATTTTAAACAAGAAACTAACATACCACAGGAGGAAGCCACCGACATTGATGTCCAGGACAAGTGGGTTAAAAACCTGTCTAGCAGAATGCTGACAAAGCCAGAAACGGATGTTCTCAGTAAAGTCCTACATTTTGCCATTTCTCCACAATAAATACCTGTGGTGGAGCTGATCACTGCCACTGAATCTGCCATCAGGAACAACAACCTGACTGAAATGGAGGCAGAGCAACTCAGGATGAAAATAACATCCACCCTGACCATCGCCAAACCCCCTCCTTTCAATATCACACCACAGGAAAGGAAAGCCATAACATCTCTTAGCCAGGACCAAAGCATCACCATATTACCAGCAGACAAAGGAAGATGCACCGTGGTCCACAACACCTGAGACTACCAGGACAAAACTCTCACTCTACTGAGTGACACCAACACATTTAAATCTTTGAAGAAAGACATAACCAACATCTACAAAAAGGAAATCATGGACTACCTCAAACAACTAGAAAAAGACAAGGTAATTAACAGCACAGTCTATTTCAGATTATATCCAGGGGAGGAAATTCCATGCTCATATGGACTCCCAACAATTCACAAAGAAGGGGCACCACT